GCGGCCCTTGAGGATCGTTCAGGCTGCATACTTTAAGGCTGCAGACCCTGAATTGGGATACAGCCTCTATGTATTTATGCACCACCTTGCATTCAATTATTAGTTTTTATTCCTCTCTGGCTCGCTTACACAGTGTGTCTTTTATCCTGTCTTCCTATTAAAAAGGAGTTTTTTCTTCCCACTGACACTAAGTGCTTGCTCATAGGGGGTTTTCTCTTTATTAGTGTTGGGGGTTTACCTTACAAAAATCCTTCAGGCAACTCTTGTTGTGATTTAGCACTACATAAATAAAACTGAATTGACTTCAAAGGAGCTGCAGGAAAGTTTGGTATTCAATGGAGCAGCCACATGATGCATGAACAGGGTCTACACAGAAGAGAATTGAACCTAAAAAAGATGATTTCTTTAAATTTTAGGATTAGCGTCTTCAAACAAAGCACAAAAGAACCCCTCACAATCCCCTCATTTGGGGAGTACAGGAATCGGTGGTATTTAGAGCTCGCTATACCTGCAACACAACATAAAATACTTCGAAACTTTAAATGATCTGAAGGTAAAAGTGGTTGAATATCTCACAAAAAGACTTTGTTATATAAAAGGAAGGTTTTGTGTCAGGAGGCGATTCAGAAGCACAGTTTTGACACCCACGTCAGAGAAGGATAGAGGAAGACCTTGTGTATGCACACCACTGGCAGTGTTATACTAAGAACACCCTATTCCAAATCACAGAGGTGTTTTTATTATTGAGCCATCTGACAGATGGCATATGAGACTGCAGCAACATCAGAAGGGTCAACTAGCAGTTAGACCTCCACTAATCAGAACTGTTGAAATCTGCACAGATTCACAGTCTGCCCAAATAAACATTTAACTCTGCTGTTGTCTCTAGCTCATTTGGGGGAAACAATTACAATACATTAGCTTAAGAAAATATGCAAATTGCACACTGACAAAAGTAGTGAAGACCAGAGGGTTAAACACTTAGCAGCTTCAGCAGTTAGATAGTAAACCAGATTAAAAAGGCACTTGAACTGCATCCACAAGAGGGCAGCCACTTCATATCTGCTCATATCATCACTGGGACCCATGTGCTGTGACTTCCTGCTGATTGTTATATACTGATTTGACTTTACAAGTTCCTCCTAAATCTACTGACCACACACAGGACAGTTGCTCTTACCGCTTCAGACTGGTTTCAAGCTGTTCACACTGAAGTCTGCTGTCCAGGCTTTGGCTGATCAGGGAGTGGATGAGTTCCTCATACTGCTGCAGGAGAGTCATGTTTGCAGAGGCGTGAATGGCCTTGTAAAGATCGGCCAGCTGCTCCCTGAAACTATGACAACACAACAGTTAGTAACCACCTGCTGACTGACATTTTTTCAGTTGCATATTTTGACTAAAATATGGTTTTAGCAGCAAATTATAAACTCCTGGAGGGCTAAAAGATAGGTGTTAAAAGTTGATCGTTTCAGAAAGAGAACGCAGTGCAACAGACCATTCATGATGGATATCCACTGTGGAATAACTGGGTGAAACAAAAAGGTAGAGGTAAACATCTTTTGGCAAAATATTGTTATATATAGTTAGTGCTGTAATTTCTGTTTCAACCCTTCAATTAAAAGATAAAAGTCTGTACATCAGTCTGTATCTTGAGTGTTTGAAATCTACTCTGATGTGGTGTACAGAGCTACGTTTAGGACATTTTTCTCAGTGTTAAAAAGTTTCTAGATCTCATTAGTGTACAGCAAGATAGCAAAATCTAGCTTTTCTAGTTTTGGAAAAGATCTATACAGATCTAAAACAGTTTGGATTTCTGTGTGTCACTGATCACCATTAGAGAAAAATGTGAAAACTTCCATTTAGAAATAATGTAACAAATATAATGCCAAGCTGAGCAATGCTCAAAGATAGTTGCATTTTTTAAACTATATTTTTTCTGTATTGTTTTCTTTTTTTCTTTCTACAGTGTTGAGTCACATAATACAATACTATAAGTAACTTATTACAAATACTAATATTTTACTTTGAGTACAGTTTAAATGTCCTTGAATGTTCTATACAAATATTGTACTTTGTATTTCATATCATTTAATGCAAAACTATTTATTTCTATCATTGTTATTAATAATAATAATAATATTTAGCATATAGAATTATAATAAGTAATGAAAATTGCCAGATGGTGCTAAAATGATTTATGCATTAATTAAGACTTCATCGTGTGTGAAACCATATACTTACATCCAAACCATAAACTGGCCTGACCTCTCCTTTAAGTCATAGAGCCACACACATTTCTCCCAGCCAGTCATGGGATCCAACCCCTAAACATCAACCCTACATACAAATGAAAACTTGAAAAAAAAGCCAGAAATGCAAAAAAAATCTCTTTTTTTTCCAAGTCTTTCGCTGAGTGCCCTGATATCAGTTAATCAGTAATAGTCCAGCAATATAATTGTGCATAGTACTTTAGGCATTTTAGGTATATTTAGTACTTAGAATGAACTTTACCACTTTGACCACTTTGCAAGAAACCTATTCAGTATAAACCACTATTTGAACTCATGTGCGTCAGCAGTTTTTAATACATCGCATGTTTTTTTGACAAATATTCTGATTTCCTGTAATTCCCTCCAGCTTCCTCTTGGTTCCGAGTGGCACCCCATTTAAAAATCCTTTATAAACGCCCCTGCCACTAAGAACGATGGCATCAGTGACGATACAAAAGTTATGGGACGTAGACACTGAGCTAAGTATATGCTTATTATCTTAGTATATACGTCCAGTGTTGTTTGATTACATTCAAGCTGTATATCGTTTTTAAGGGTGAGCTTGTTTATTCTTCCAGTACACACCTGTACCGCATGACTAATCAGTGCAGCAGCAGTACCCACTGGCCAGGTAATTTCCAGCCAGACGGCGGGTAGAGCAAACTGGAGCTTCCCGGATGTGAGTTTACCTTTCGGTAAGGATGGATTTCGCATCTGCCTTGTCTTCAAACTCTTCCCAGGGGGAGTCTTGTGTTTGGGATGCCCCTGCTCCGAAAGACGCCAGATCCAGAGTCTCCGAAACCTCCTGAAACCTGGAGGAAAACCTGTTGTAGTCGATGTATCCGTCTTCGTGCGGGTCAAACTTGTCAAACAGAGTCCCGATCTCGGTTTCAGGGACGCTGAGCTCCCGGCAGACTACAGTAAAGTCCTCGTACTCGATCTTACCGGACTTGTTCACGTCGCAAACAGAGAATAATCTCCGAAGGCTGGGTCGCTCCATAGTTACTGGTTTAAAAATAAAGGATAATCCAGAAAATGTTCAAATTGAACAAACCTGATCCAAAATAAAAGCCCCCACCATCGTCTCAGAGTTACTGTAGAGGATTGGTCCAAACCTGCCTGTAGGCGGGTACCAGCCTAATCAATGGACCCTAATGTGCCGCCTCGTTTGGCTTGGACTGGAGTTAGATGTCATGTATGTTTGCAGTGACGCTGTGATATAATAGAACTACAACAGACAACGCAGGTGCTGACCTGTGTTTGCCTTTAAGGTGTGTGTGCTCCATGTGAGAGTTTTATCAGATAACCTGCGCACCATTGTTTGGCTGGGTTTGCAGAGTTTCTGACAACACCCTGAGAGGAAAAGCTGTAACCTGTGCTCAGAGTTGGGGCCCACAGTTTGTTCCAGCTGGGACTGCAGCAGCGTTTTTATGTCACTGGCCACTTATTTAGAATAAGTGTTCCTTGAAATAACAACATTCCTAATCAGCCAATCACATGGCAGCAACTTAGTGCATTTAGGTATGTAGGCACCAATTGTGAATGTTCAAAGTGAGTATCTGAGTATAGAAGGGTGAGTTAAGTGACTTTGACTGTGACATGGTTTTAGGTACCAGATGGGTTGATTTAAAGTGATTGTCCCTACACAACGGTCTCAAGGGGTTTGCAGATAACACTCCAAGAAAGATAAAAATATCTGCTTCAAGCTAATAGTATGAAAACGGGAAATAAACCATGTTATGACGAAGTAATGCAGAAGAGCGTCTCTGAGCCCAATATGATGAATTTTGAAGCAGGTAGGGACTAGGAACTATTGCTTTGTTCTGTTTTTGCAGCAACTTTCAGATGGTATAGTCAGAATTTCGGGTAAACAACATGAAAGCATGAATCCATCCTCCTTGGTAATTAGTGGTTCAGGCTGATGGGGGTATAATGGTGTGGGGGATGTTTACCTGGTTGCCCTAGTACCAACTCAAGCTGGAATACCTGAAACTTGGTAAAGCTGCTGAATATCAGTATCTCAGGTTAATTTTGAACGGCACTTACTATTATGCGAGTGTATAAAGCATTTATGTAGTTATTAGTTGCAACATATCAGATGGTGCTGCCGCCATGCGGTAAAAAGAGAAATTACAGTTTATTCTGTTTATGGTGGCAGTCCATAAATAATACATTTTAAGGTAGGAGCGAGGGGCGATTTAAATCGGACCTAGGGCCAAGATTCACAGTCACTTCAGCGCTTTATATTGTAAGGTAAAGACCTTACAATAACACAGGGACAATCCCAATAATCAAATGAGCCCTTAATGAGCAAGCACTTGGGAACAGTGGGAAAGGAAAGCTCCCTTTTAACCAGCTGGAGGTTAAATAAACAAATTTCTACCAGAAAATGATACAAATTGGTATTTGCATCAAATGTTAGATGCTAAAAAATAAAATTTCTTGCATATGGACCCATTAAAACCCAGATTTGAGGTCTCCCACTATAACGCTCTTGCAAAAACCTGCACCATTGTCTGAAAGGAAATGGTTAACCTACTGAAATCATGAGCCTTTCAAATAACAAAAATCTCCATTTTATCTTTATTTGAAAAATTAAAATAAAGTGCTTTTTATATACAATACAAAAAGAAAGAAAACAGTAGTGATGTATGATACAAAAAAATACAATTCACAATATTTTTTACATTGGCAGCTGAATTTACAAAACAACTTTACATAAAAACTTGTTTACTTACAATACATGTTGACAAGAGTCTGAGCAACTTGTACTGTCACAAATAGAAGAAGGCCCGACTATAGTGGTTCAATAAGTGAGAGCAGACGACGATACTTTCACTGTGGCATTAATAGTGTAGGCTTGTATTCAAATACAGAAAAACATATTCAGTACCTGCACATATTCGACTAAATCACTGCCACGCTGTATTTATTCTGCGCTTTGCAAATTTAATATTGTTCCGATGACAGCCGCTTCACCAAAAGCTGCCACTTGTTGTTTTTAATAACAGTCAAAGCATGAGTCTTTCATATTGCATGAGTGAATATAGCTGACTAGTCTTTGAAATTCAGTTTTGCAGTGCCATTTATAGGAAATGTAATATAATACTAATGCTTATATTTTTTTTAATATTTAAAAAAAAAAGAAAAATCAGCCAGTGGTTATTTATGCACTACAGTTTAAGAATAAAATAAAATCCCTGACTGCGCTTGAAGCCACCCTAACAAAAATGTAAAATAAAACGACACCTCTCATGAGCACGTATTGTACAACAATGACACAATTAAATTACACGTATTCACGGTTTTGACGTGTTTTTTTTTTTAAGTATGGCCAGTCCTGTCACACCTACAGTGTAGCGTTTGACTCCAGAGCACTACTACCTGGTTAGTTTATTATTCCCAAGAGGCACATCTCTTGATTATTGTTTCAGAAGGCATTCTCCATTCCCACCCCTCCCCCCAAGGCAGATTTGTAACCAAATCCATAACCTGCAGTGTACTAAGGCTCTTAACATGATGTGCAAATCCTGTGCTTTCCGAGTCACGATGTATATGCCTTCCCTTCAGGTACGCATTTTTTCTGTTGTTGTTGTTGTGAAGTATTGATTTTGCTGGCTGGATCACAATACTAGAGCCATACTCAAGTAAGAATAAAAAATATTGGATGACATGAGAAATGCTTTCAAGTTACGCAATCATCTGATTTAGTTATATTAAAGCGAGAAAAATCAGTAAAATAAAAAATTCCCCTGTTTATTACTGAATGACAATGAGAGTTATTGCCTTAATGGTTGCCTTTACAACCACCTAAGAGGCTGTTTTCTTCATCAACACTCTTCAGTTTATATTTATATCAAAGGTGGCAGTCTACAGGTGTGTTATTGAAATCACATTATTTTTAGGTGTTTGTTTTAGATTCAGTATGATTCAGTGACAGAACAGCTGTGAAAAAAATGTCTCCATAAAATAACCATTTGGCCACATAATAATAATATTAATAATGATGATAATAAATATTGATAACCTTTCATCGTGCTGCAATAAATGACCTGCCGCAGATTTAACATTACCGTTCCGGACGCTCGTCTTTTATCGTCTGTTTTGGTCACGCCAGACTTTCAGGGCTGCATCATCTTTCTCCAGAAAACGCACCAAAATGGCTAAAATCTCTTGCATACTTGCGACTGCGGTGTAATGAGTGTGCGTCTCTTTGCGTGGGTGTGTGTTTGTAGTGCCACTGTATCTAAAGTAATTAACAGTGCCGACACCTTTGTGCTTACTCAGTCTCAAGGTGAGGTGTTTCTCGGTGTTTACCCCACTTCACATTATTTGCTTTGCATAGACTGCCTATCTCATGAAGAATAGCGTGATAATACCTGGAATGAGTCCCCCTCCCTTCCCTTTTATCATATTTGGTGAAAGAAAACCAACTTAAAGTCAGTCGTCATCAGACAAATATTTATACCTAGTGAAGATGGCAATACTTAAAAAGCACATTTCTCTCTTTTCTTGGAGTGCAGTGATTGAGGTGGTAAGAGTTTCTGCATTTCTGCTTTCATCTTTTCAGATTTCTTTGTTCTTGCTGTGTTTGAATGAACTCTAAAATAATGAGTGTACTTGTGTGAATGTACACAGGCTATCCTGTAAGAAACATTACAGGACTTTTTAAATATATATGCATGTATATCTTGCCTGTCTTGACTTGTTTGTGTGGATTCTGCTTTACCTTGCTACAGTACAGTACATAGTGCACAACCTCAGTGAAGGCTAAACTCTCGCAGAATGAAAATAAATCAGCAAACACTGCGTCAGGCGTTGTGTTCGAGCATCACTCTGCCTTTCAGAGTATTACCGGCATGTCATATGGACGGACTGTGAAAGGCAACTCTCTGAAATCTGTTCGCTAAATCGTGGTCACGATGCCATCTCAATGCTCGTTACATTCCCGTGAGCCGTACGTGAAAGTCTGAAGGCGAGCCGGAGCTTCTTCAGTGTGCTTCAAATGCACTTGAATAAGAGGGTGAGAGGAAAATGAAATAAAACGCACATGGACCACATCGACAGAATTAAAAAAGAAAGAAAAAGGAGCGAGAGAGAGAGAGTGCAAAATCTGTGTAATGTAAAGTCTCTCCACGAGAGTGCTGATTTTTCCCTCTTATGTTTTTGTCTTTCTCAACAAGTGCACTCTTTCCTTTGAGTTCAAAAGCAGTCACTCCATATAACATGAAGCCTGCCTCACACTATAGAGTCTTTAATCTCGGAGCCCAGCCTGACTCGAGGCCGGGGGCACGTGGGTGAAATCTCCACGTGGCTCTCTCTTAAGTTCAGAGGCCTCTTCTCCGATTCAGAGAAGCTCTTGCTGTTATCAGGGGACGAGCACTCTTGCGGTGGAGTGCTGCAGATGTAGTTGTCATTAAGGGTCTGGTACCCCTTGTGATCCGAAGCTGAGGTTGTGACTGTGTTGCCGTTGAGCGGCAAGTTTTCAGCGGGTTTCCCCACTATTCTGGGCTTCTTCTGCTGCATGTTCGGGCACTCTCCCTCCTTCAGCATGGACTTCATGTGGTCACGGTTCCTGTAAACCACAAACAGGGAGAAGACTACCAGGGAAAACACCAGGAGGGCGCATACAACGATCAGCTCGTTCCAGTAGGTCTTTGTGTTGATCTGCGGCGAGCGGGCCTCCCCTGGCAGGATGATGATTTCCTCCTGTGAGATCTGCGGCGTACGTGAACGGCCTGTCAAGGTGGTGCTCTCCTCTTTGGCTTCGCCTCTCACACAGTAGTTTGCCAGCAGCTGTCTGAAGCCCTCCTCCACTGACCAGCACTCGTATGTTTCCTGCTTGTCCGCTTGAGCTACCACCACCAGTCCCCCCTCTGGGCTGGGGTAATGGAAATGACCTGCGCTCTCACCGAACTCCCACTTCCTTTCAGCCAAATTAGAGCGCAGCTTGCAGGGCAGTACTTTGAATGTGTTGGCTGGGATAATGATCACCTGGCATGACGACATCCCTGCGGAAAGTCAAAGCGCAGATGAGTCAGGTATGGTGTGAAAAAAGGCTGTACCACTCTGCTGAT